TTTCTCATTCTATACATTTTCGCTAATTTAGTTGGAGTCAAATGCCATCTATAAATCATTTTCATTATATTTTCTTTCAATGTCATACATGCGGTAGAGTTTGGCTTGGTTTCTTTGTACAGTGGAGCGGTATATACATTTTGTTAAGTGAAATAAATAAAGTGTTGTTGGGCTTTCCATGGGTAGCTGTTCAGCCCTAGAAAGAACAAGATGGTGGACTGGAATGTGGCTTTGGCCTGATCCTGCTACAAGGCTCTTCTTACATGTTGCGTTCCAATCCCGGGAAGAAAGCTTATGTGCTGAAAGGATGCTTTATTCATAATACATCAGGACCTAAGACGTAAGGAATATTCATATGCTGCAAACATCAGTAACATCTCTAGTCCCAAGGCAGGCTAAGAAATCCTCACTTGCTAAGTTTGCTTCGAACATTAAGGCTGTACACACAGGCAGATTGCCGACAAAGGAACCATAAGCAGAATTGTTGCTTATAAATATATAGTTTCAATATAGTGGTCCGCCATGGCCAAGGTTTCCATGACGCTGTTTGGGAGGAGTGTTTCTGTGGCCCTATCACAGATCACCTATCAGAGATAAAGGTTCCTTATCTCACGAGAGCAGTACCTGTCTGAAGAACCAAGCTTATCAAGAGATAAGCTTATCAACCTGGTATTATTACCTCTTCAGCTGACTGCTATCTTGGTCCTGAGTCAGCATCAAAGAAGAAACAGAAAATGTCTTGGAGGTATACGTTGTAATCACACATACATTTTGGCCTTCAAATCTCTGCTCAGCTCCTTCCCCAACACAACAAAATCCTTAGCACCTGATGTTATCATCCGGTTCAAACAACCAAATCCTTTACTCCCTGCAGAAAGTCATCGTCTGTTCCCGACTTACACAAGGCAGTACTAGCAGTATAGCAGTAGAGTACTAGTAGTAAAAAAAAGAGGTAAAGGTAAAGGACCCCTGGATGGTTAAGTCCAGTCCAAGGCGACTATGGGGTGCTGTGTTCATCTCACTTTGCAGGCCAAGGGAGCCGGTGTTTGTCCACAGACAGCTTTCTGGGTCAAGTGGCCAGCATAACTAAAACGCTTTTGGCGCACGAAGTACAGTGACAGAAACCTTCCCACCACAGCAGTACCTATTTGTGTGGCAATGTCCCAGCCCCACACCCCCTTGGTAGAATAAAGACACATGACTCAAATATTTAAGGTTAATGGGCTAAAAAAGGCCACAACTTTATTGGTTAAAGATGATGAGCGGTATTGGCTTAGGCATTGGATCTAACTGACTATATCTGACTCCAGCCCATCTGTTGGGAGTCTGGGAAGGGTTAACCACCAGTAGGGGGAGTCCTACTGATGCACATCAACTAGGAGCTCCCCTGGGGGTCACTGATAGGGGGTGTGCCTTAGGCCCTCACTTCCATAGGCTTCGGACAGGGCCACGCCCCCCAGAATCATTCAACGGACTACCCTTCAATATGCCTATATGCCTATTCCAATGCCTAACCACCAATACTCAGAAAGTTGTGATGATTTGCTATGAGGTAGGCGAAAACCAAGTGGCTGGTGCCAATTTGCCAAGTGGAAAAATTCCTACCAGGCCCTTCAATGGCGACCAACTGAGGTCCATAGCAAGGTGAGATGAAAACCTTAAAGGGTGGGAGGTTGGGAACACCAGAGCAGCTGGAAGCGGGAAAGAGAGAAATCTCCCGGCTGCGTCCTGCGTTTATGGGGCAGGCCACACCCCCAGACCAACCAGATTGGCCAGCCTGGCCAGTGACACAGCTGGGAATCCCCCAGTCGCGCAGGGCTGGCCACTAACCCCCTGTGCACATACGGGGGGGTGTCGTGAGAGCCCACAACACCATCTCCTCCTTAAGGCGGAAGTGGCCTTATCTGCTTGCACTGGTGTACTTTCAAACTGCTAGGTTGGCAGGAGCTGGGACCGAGCAACGGGAGCTCGCCCCGTCTTGTGGATTCAAACTGCCAACCTTCCGATTTTAGTAGCAATGGTCTAGCAGCCCAACTTGCACTTTGACGTGCTTTCGAACTGCTAGGTTGGCAGGAGCAGGGACCGAGCAACGGGAGCTCACCCCGTCGTAGGGATTCGAACCGCCAACCTTCTGATCAGCAAGTCCTAGGCTCAGTGGTTTAACCCACAGCGCCACCCGTGTCCCAAAAACCCAGATAGGGACACACATACACTGGCTCCTTTGAGATGAGCGTAAATGAACACTGTTAACAGTATGTGTGGACTTCTCGTTGCAAAGTGCTGTTTCTCAAATCAGGAACTTCATTGGGAGTTCAAAAACAGGTGTGTTAATGAGGGGGGGGGCATTGCTTTCCTTGGGTCATTTGCGAAAATGCCTTTTAAGGGATTTCAGTGGGATTCGTCCTTCAGATGAATTTCCATCTCTTTCATTTAACAAGGATGCCGGTTTGAGGGCTGGGCAGGCTACCTGCTTGAAGAAAAAAAAGTAAATGGCTTCCTATTTAATAAATCACACCTTTCAGTCTCTATATTTGGTGTCTGTGGGATCATTATCACATTCCTCATTGTAGCAGTCGGAAGAGGAGGAAAAGAGAGTGTGGTTTTCATATTATTATTATTTTTAAAAATCCTCACCTCTTCAACGATAAGTACGATCAAAGGTAATTAAAACAGTTATCATTTACACCGATGCCACCTTATTCCCCAAAGATTCCGTCCGAAAGCTACAAGTAAGTGTGCTTTAATTGTAGCTTAAATGTAAGTTGCACTATCGGAAAGAGAGCCTGCAAGCTAGTTTTTCTTCTTCTTCATTCCTTCCTGTTGCCACTAGTCTATGCTGTTGTATAAAGTTCTGGTTGCTCTCTCTGCATCTCATGGCAAATGCCGGTTCGATCCTTTTCTTGTCGGGAGATTCTTCTCTGTTCAGCTTTGGTGTACTGTTCTGTTCAGAACGCAGGCAGAACTCTGCAGGATCAGACCAAAGGTCAATCGGCATTGTTTTATCCAGATGTCGTTCACAAGAATGGCACTGCTATCTATCCCACATCCTCCAACACCTGTTCCTTGGAAATATACAATACAATACAATATACAATACAATATTTCAATACACAACATCCCTCAACTGTTGTTTTTTTTAACAATATGGGCAATTATTATTATTATTATTATTATTGTTATTATTATTATTCACATAATTGCTTCATTATTTTACCACGAGAAACAGAAATTTCACCAGGGGAATTGTTTAAGGCATGAACCATCAAGATTATCATCACAAATCTTGCAGCCTGTCAAAAACACTTTTGCACGTCTGCATCCTGCCTGCTCAGAAGTCAGTCCCCTTCACGTCAGTGAGGCTTACTCCTAGGTAAGCGCAAGGCCATGGATAGGCAAACTAAGACCCGGGGGCCAGATCTGGCCCAATTACATTCTCAATCCGGCCCACGGACAGTCCGGGAATCAGCGTGTTTTTACATGAGTCGAATGTGTGCTTTTATTTAAAATGCATCTCTGGGTTATTTGTGGGGCATAGGAATTAATTCATTTTTATTTTTATTTTCAAAATAAATTTAAAAATAAATAAAATATTTTTCAAAATATAGTCCGGCCCCCCACAAGGTCTGGGGGACAATGGACCGGCCCCCTGCTGAAAAGGTTTGCTGACCCCTGCACTTCAGCGAGATGTAATGGGACATATGTCTGAGCTGAGCGGAAGGTGATTCCTCTGAAAGGCTGCAATTCTGTGCCCACTTACCAGGGAGTAAGTGCTACTGACCTCATTGGGACTTGATTCTGAGAAGGCCATGGGATTGAATTATAGGACACCATTAGGACAGCTTTACATAATACAAAAGACATCAACAAACTAATTCTAGGCCTTTCCCAATTTAAACCCTTCTGATCAACTAATTTAACATCTTTTAAATTACAATAAAGGAAATAGATTACCTCTTATTATTCTTCGTATAGCGTTCTAGAACCTCTTAAAAGCTTTCCATTGTGGTTTAAATTTAATCACTTCATATCTATCTTGTTTCACCCAAAAAGATCGTGTGATTTTCCCAGAGCTGCTGGCTCCCTTACTTTGATATACAACTCCTTAATCAAGGTATTTCCTTCTTTTTCCAATATTCGGCATATAGAAGAATCACATCGCTACAACCATGTGGGTTTCTTTGTCCCTCACTACTGCTCCTTTCAAATAAGATAATAAATAAGTCTCGGAAGCCAAAGGAATTGTTTGTTGCGTGACCTTATTAATTGCTAAATATGCTTCTTGCCATGATGTTTCTTGCTGCAGAGCACGATCGACAACATAGAAAATCCAACCTATTTTTCAAACGATTATCATTACTATTTCTTGATAGCCTAAGGAGCATACTAGAGGCATGCACTGGCTCTGTGTAAACCCCAAATGAGCAGAAAAGTTGAGTGATTCAGGAAAGGTTCTCACATTCCTGATTCAGCTTGTGCCATTACAAATGTGTCCCAAATCAGATCAGGAACTATGTGGTCTTGGCTGTCAAAAGAAACTGCACATCCCTTCTCTCTCTCTCTCTCTCTCTCTCTCTCACACACACACACACACACACACACACACACAAACACACTTTCGTTCTAACCCAAATTTGAAAGGGGCCGTGATGGAGAGGCTATTTTGTTTTGACTTATTCATTTGTTTCACAAGATTGATATATTGCTTGACTGTAATGAAACCTGTGATAAAAGCTGTTGAGCTGTTCTCTCTGTTCTGGTAAACGTTGTCGAACTTTTTTGGGGACATCTCCCCCTCCCTCCTCCCCCCAAAAAAGATTTTGGGACCTTTATGGGATTTTTTAAGCTTTAAAAATAAATAAATAAATTGCCCTACCTGCCATACATCTGGGTTTCCCCATAGTTTGCCGATTCAGCAAAAATCCGCCCGGATGCCATTTTGGCAGACTGATTCCCAGACGTATGGCAGCCTTAAAATAGAAGCAGTCAAGTGGGCATATTGTGCTGGGATAGTTCAGTTGGTAGAGCATGAGGCTCTTAATCTCAGGCTTGTGGGTTTGAGCACCACGCTGGGCAAAAGATTCCTGCTCAAGGGGCTCTGTGGTTTAGATCACAGCGCCACCCAGGGCTGGATTAAGTTTGATGAGGCCCTAAGCTACTGAAGGTAATGGGGTCCTTTTATGTCCAGCTGTCATTTGTCAACAACAAATTGTCACTGTTTTTTGGGTTGACTATATGCTATACGGTAATTTATGGACCTAATAGGTATCTAAGGCCATTTGCACATGTGGCCATACAACTAGTCCATGCAGAATGTAGGCACCCTATATATAGAAATGAGCAAACCAGTGATATTTTGTGGAGTAAGCCCATTACTTTCTTACATCATAGAAGCCTACACAACACAAAACACTGTTGCTCTGTGTAGGTTTTATTTTATTTGTTTTTATCTGATATTTTGGAAATGTACAAATGTTTTTTTCCTTTAATTTTTTTGGGCCCCCCAAGAGAGTAGGGCTCTAAGCTATAGCTTGTTTAGCTTATACGTAAATCCAGCAGTGGCACCACCCGTTCTTACAATGGCAATGGGGCCTGCCTGAGAGGTGCCAAAACTGAGTTCCAGTGAGTTCTGGCTGAAGAAAAAGCCCTGGCCAGTAGCCATTAACTTGGCTTTAGAAGAGGATTTGACAAATAAATAGAGGATAAGTGTGATGGCCTGGGAATCTGATTCAGAGGCTGAACCGGAGGAATCCCAGCCTGCACAGGAGTCCCCGCCTCCAGGGCCGGCTGAGCTGGGGCAGGGCCTTGAATCTGAAGCGCCTGCACCTGTGCCAGATCCTCAGGAGCAGACACCAGATGAATCCACTCTGGCTCCGGGGGTGATTGAGGACCCATTGCCTGCCCATCCCAGCCCTGTCAGGGGAAGGTGAGCCTCCCCCTGGGTCCAGTAACCCTCCAGCCTCTCCTGAGCTGCAGAGGCTCAGGGCAGAGAGGCGGAGGGAACTGGTTTCTCCCAGGAGGAGTGCTTGCCTTAAGGCCAGGAGAGGCAGGTCACCAGGGGGCCGGGACCGCCCCTGGCCTCAGAGAAGACAAAGGCCAGTCAGCCCGGTCCCAGGTTGCGGGAGCAACGACGTTGGAAACCTGTTTTTGCAAGCACCCAGACCTGTCTTTCCGGAGTTCCCGACCACGCCCGGCTTTTCCTTTGAACCCAGCTTCCCCCTTGATGGACAATCTCCAGACCCTTGGCCCAGGACTGGACTTTGACCACGCCTCACGGTAACCCCCCCTCCCGGGACCAGCACAATAAGCCTGTCAATGGCTACTAGCCATGGTGGCTAAGTTACAGCTTGAATGTCAGAGGTTTTGTGCTTCTGAATAGCAGTTGCTGGGAACCATAAGTGCTCCTGTCTCCTCACAGCTTCCCATAGGAGGCTGGACCCGATCCACCTTTGGCCTGATGCAGCAGGGCTCTTCAAAAGTTCCTATGTTCCCATTTTACTCGAGTGAAATGAATTTCCCCTGCATTGCATGGGATGCCTTGCTCTCGTCTTACTCTTCCCAGAGTGAAATATTGTCATTACCCATCTATTTATATCAGCCTAAGCAACTGCATGGATGGTTCGATGAACATCTGTTGGCTGAAACAGCGTCAAAAGATCTCCAGGCAAACAACAACAAAACACCTTCTCTTACCACTCAATGGTTAAAATAATTTTCTCTGTATTGTTTCTTTTTCCTTCCCCCCTGGGGACCCACTGGATGGTTGAACTAAAAAGGAATCTCTTTTCTTATCAAATGTGCCTTTCCCCCAACCATGAACACATGCTGTTTTGCTGTTGTGCAGTTGCTTATGAGAGTGTCTAAATTGATTTTTCCCTTTCTTATTTAGAAATAACACTACTGTGTCTGCAATTTTTTTTAGCCTAGCTCTCACTGAGGGCTGTACCACTTTATGGGCTGTACCACTTCAGGCTCACATAGTTGATCGTTCCTCCAAACATAGTCTTTTTTCTTTTCATTACTCCCTAAACAATTTTTTTTTTTTAAAGTAGCATTTCAAAGAGATGAATAGTTTAAAACAGGCATAGGCAAACTCCAGCCCTCCAGATGTTTGGTCTACAATTCCCATCATCCCTAGCTAACAGGACCAGTGGTCAGGGATGATGGGAATTGTAGTCCCAAACATCTGGAGGGCCGGAGTTTGCCTATGCCTGGTTTAAAACCTACTTGACATCTAGCTGGGCTGGAATTGTGTCTCTACTGAACCACGTAAACCACGTCCATTGCAAAGGTAATAAAATCCCGAAGATGAGCCCTTTTATCTGTTCCTTCGGAGAACAAACCCAAATTTCCACTAGTTGTAAAGACTTTGATCCAGTGCAACTGAGCTGAGCCTTAGGCTCTCTGTCGCTTAGCAGAAATAGGTTTTCTAGTTGATCAAATTAGTGAGCAAGTCTAACCTAGAAGCTTTTCCTGGAGGGAGTCAAGGAGTATCACCTGACCTTTTCCAGCCTACTGGCGCAAGGGTATTTTCTCAGCTGCTATGATTGGTCAACGTATAGACCTGTCCCCTGTCATGATAGCACATCACTTGGTAGACTGGCATCACAACAGAGGTCAGCAACCTAAGGCCCGTGGGCCAGAAGCGGACCATGGAGGCCATTTAACCGGCCCACGAGACGCCCCCAAACCGAGTGACCTGCTCGGCAAGTCTCCGCGTGCTGCGCTAAACCAGCGCAGTGCGGTGCAGGGACTCTTCCGTGGCTCCGGAAATCGCTTCTGCGCATGCCCAGACACCGGAAATCACATCTGCACATGTCCACGGTGCCTGAAGTCACTTCTGCGCATGTCCATGGTGCCGGAGATAGCTACTGCGCAGGCATGATTTCCGGCATCTGGGCATGTGCAGACGCGATTTCCGGTGTCGCACTGCGCCGGCCCAGCCCACAGAGGATCTCCACGGGAGTGATCTGGCCCATGCCTGGTAAGCCTTGCTGACCCCTGAGTTACAAGGTTGGTGGATCAGGGGAATGCTATGGGTGTAGTGTATCTTGATTTCAGCAAGGCTTTTGACAAAGTCCTCCTTTATATTCTGTGGAGAAGCTGGGAAAAATGTGGGCTGGATGAGGCTGACTGATCGAACCCAAAAAAAGCTCACTAATGGTTCCCTCATCATCCTAGAAAAAAGTGACAAGTGGGGGTGCCGCAGGCTTCAGTCCTGTGGGTGTCTTTATAAATGAATTGGATGCAGGAACTGAGGGGGTGCTCATCCACTTTGCAGATGACACCAAACTGGGAGGGGTAGCTAATGCCGCAGAAGACAGAATTGGGATTCAACATGGCCTTGTCAGATTGGAGAACTGAGCCAAAACTAACAAAATGAAGAAGAAGAGTTTGGATTTGATATCCCGCTTTATCACTACCCTAAGGAGTCTCAAAGCGGCTAACATTCTCCTTTCCCTTCCTCCCCCACAACAAACACTCTGTGAGGTGAGTGAGGCTGAGAGACTTCAGAGAAGTGTGACTAGCCCAAGGACACCCAGCAGCTGCATGTGGAAGAGCGGGGAAGCGAACCCGGTTCACCAGATTACAAGTCCACCGCTCTTAACCACTACACCACACTGGCTTTTAATAGCAATGAATTTTAATAGCAACAAATGTAAGGGTCTGCACTTAGGTAGGACAAACCAGTTACACAAATATAAGATGGGGAACACCAGGCTTGCCAGTAGTACAGGTGAAAAGGATCTAGGGGCCTTAGTAGACCACAAGGTAAACATGAGGCAACAGTATGATGCAGCAGCAACAAAAGCTAATGCTATTCTAGGCTATATCCACAGAAATCTAGTGCCCAGATCAAGGAAAAGACCACACCTGGAGTACTGTTTCCAGTTCTGGGTGCCACAATTTAAGAAGGATAATGAGAAGATAGAAGAAGAAGGTAACCAAGATGATCAAGGATCTGGAAACCAAGCCTTATGAGGACCAATTGAGAGAGTTGGGTGTGTTTAACTTGGAGAGGAGATATGATTGTTGTTGTTTAGTCATTTAGTCGTGTCCGACTCTTCGTGACTCCATGACCCAGAGCACACCAGGCACTCCTGTCTTCCACTGCCACCTGCAGTTTGGTCAAACTCATATTAGTAGCTTTGAGAACACTGTCCAACCATCTTGTCCTCTGTCGTCCCTTTCTCCTTGTGCTCTCAATCTTTCCCAACATCAGGGTCTTTTCCAGGGAGTCTTCTCTTCTCATGAGATGGCCAAAGTACTGGAGCCTCAGCTTCAGGATCTGTCCTTCCAGTGAGCACTCAGGGCTGATTTCCTTAAGAATGGATAGGTTTGATCTTCTTGCAGTCCATGGGACTCTCAAGAGCAGCGGTTCTCAACCTGTGGGTCCCCAGATGTTGTTGGACTACAACTCCCATCATCCCTGAGCTCTGGCCTTGCTAGCTAGGGGTGATGGGAGTTGTAGTTCAACAACATCTGGAGACCTACAGGTTGAGAAAGGCTGCTCAAGAGTCTCCTCCAGCACCATAATTCAAAAGCATCCATTCTTCAACAATTAGCCTTCTTTATGGTCCAGCTCTTGGAGAGGAGATATGATACCTATCTTCAAACATCGAAAGGCCTCTCACTTGGAAACTTTTTTCTACCTGCTCCAGAGACTAGGACCCAAACCAATGGCTTACTAGAAAAGGATATTCAGACCTCAGGAAGAACTTTCCGACAGTAATGGCTGACAGTGGAACAGACTGCAGCGAGAGGTTGGATGGCTGTCATTGATGCTTTAGTGAAGAGGGTTGGACAATTCTCTGATTCTCTGATTCCAGCTGTGCAAAAGTACCTGAAGGGCTGAGGCAGTGAGAGGAGGCGCCTGGGAAGGGCAAGTTCCAAGGATGGGATAGAGATGACTGGAGTTTTAGTCCTTGACATCAAGGAAGGCACTGGGTGTCAGGCGTGAGGACGGGTGACATCGCCACACCACCCCCAACTCCACCCCATGCTTGCTGCTCAGGCGACGAGCCTCTAGGAACTATGCTGCCGCAGGCAGCTAGCGGCGCCCCCTGACGCTTACT